TGGGAGATGGCCCTGCCATGGCAGGGGGGGTTGGAACTTGATAATCTTTGAGGTCCCCTCCAACCCCAGCCATTCTATGACTTGGCAGATGAAGGGGTGGATTGTGTTGTTTTGCAGATTCAACGGAAAGTTAACATTTTGTTTGTGGATCTAGCGTCTGTGTTGACTGCTAACCAGTGAGCAGGGTGCTGGTAGAGCAGGAGGCTTTAGGTACCATGTAGCTAGCAAAAGATCAGAGGGAAGGTGGCGTTACTTCTTACAGTGACACTGTCCTAGATTAGTTTTAAAACGTAGACCACAGTGAAGTATTTGTGCGTGGGTTAAAGCTGCAATATCCTTATAAGCTGTTGACTCGATGTATGTGTACTTAAGGGAAAACTTATTCCTGATATAGAGAGGATTACAACACTAAAAACACTTGTTGCAGCTCTCTAGTTAGCCTTGGTTTGAGCAGGTGTTGGAACAAAAGAGCGATAAAGATCCCTTCTGACCTAAGTTATGCTATGGATCCCTTGAGATAAGTGGTTGCCACTTGGCTGTTAATACATTTGCTTGTGGTTCATAGAGAATCCATGATGAAGTTTCTTCAGGCTTGTTCTTGTAAGCTTTGTGGATTAGGTGGAGCAGTGGAAGGCGTGTTACCTAATTAACATAGAATTTTCTTTACTTTCTTGAATTGTCACTGCTTTTTAGGACAAACTGAAACATGACTGATACAGATGAATCCAGGGCTTCTGGCTCTGGTTGTCCCGTTGCCCAAGACCTAATCCGCAGTCAGCAGAAAGAGACATATGTGGTACATATAGGTGAAAGATCTGCACGAATGGAGCATTTACGTTCAAGGCAGAAGAATGCTGCTTCTGAGGAGTCTTCAGATGAGCTTACTGGTGTATGTAAATCTTCGTTTGCTGCAGCTGAGATTGTACTGGACAGCAGTGATTCAGAAATGTGAGTTTTTATCTCTAGTTTTTTTCATAGGAGTTTATCCTGTGAAGAATCTGTGTCATACATCATAAAAGTGTACATTCTTTGGAAAGTAAGTATTTTTTTTCTTCTTCAGTGATCCTTGTACTGCTCATGGCAGTGACTACCATCCTAAGTGCTCCAGTGCACCTTCAAAGCAAAAAAGGAGAGAGAGATTTTCAAGACAACACGCTGAATCTGTTTCAGGAGTGCCCGACAGAGAAAGCTCTTCAGATTCTTCTTTGTTCCCTCCAAGTCCAGTGAAATTATCAGAAGATTCCGAGAAGCAGAAGTCAAAACTCAATTTAAAAGCCATTTTTGCCTATCACTTCAGGGGAAGAAAGTTTAAGGCTGCTGCACACCGAAAATTCCTGGGTAAGTCTAGGGGGGAGAAGAAGAAGGAGACGAGGAATGAAAGCACACAGAAACCAGTGGGAAGGTCACCGCTGCCGAGACCGTCACCGCTGCCGAGACCTTCACCTCAGGAGCGATACAGGCGGCTTCGAGACAGAGGTTTTCAGTTCCCTTTTGTTGAAAAGTATTATGGGAAGAAACATATTCCCTTAAAGATGGTTCTTGGCTATGAGGTGAGTCCTCTGTTTCATGGGATAAACGTGGTTTTTTTAGTCTAAAAGTAGTGAACTGAAATTGGCTATATTGTGCGTCTACCTGATGTATTACAATAAAAGTTTTAACTTCTGTTAAAGATATTAAACAGTTGAGTGTCCCATTGAAGACAAACACAACTAAAGTATAATCAATATAATACTAAATTAATCTAAAAGCTTTATAGTGTTCTTAAGATCTCACCTGATGTGTTGGTTTTTTCTTTAGCAAGCGGCTGCAAAGGGATATTTCCAGTACATCGAGGTGCTTAAATATGAAGAACATCTTAAAAAAGCTTTAAAAGCCCTTGAGGCTAGTGAAGACTTGGAACAAGAATGTCTGACTGTACGGAAACACAAATATTTAGATGATGAAGGCCCCATTTCGCCTATTCAGGAGACGAAGTAAGTTAATCTTCCTATTTTTAGGTGGTACAAAACTTGCTTTTTCGTAATGAAAATATAAACTTATCTGTATACAGGTAGATGCACGACACCTCGCTCCATCCCCCCAGCTCTTGGTCACCCCTAGCCCGTTTGCTGGCACGGGAAGAGCATCAGTGTTGCACTAGTCACAAATGCAAAGCAGCACAATGGTGCAGGCTGCTGAGAAGAAAGCCAGTTCCAGACCAGTGCAAGCTGCTGCTCGTAGAGCTGAGATCAGGAGGTAGCACAGTTGCTTGTAGTAGCATGTGGTTTTTAAGAGTTGTAGGTATATGAGCTCAGTTCCTGTTTTGTCCTTTTAATGTATTTCAAGGTAGTGTAATCAAATGTGAATATCTGCTTATGAATGCGTTGTTTTGGAAACAAAGGTCAAACACCTGGGATTCTGTGCTTGGACTTCGGATATGTCATGGCTCAAGCTGACTGGGACAAAGAACCACACGGTCTCCAGCTCACTTCTCCCCCCACCCCCATTTCCACAGTGATGTGAAGGGAAACAATTCGACCGAAAAGGCTCAAGGGTTTGAGATTAAGAATAGGGAGGGTAATAATCTACCATTTGAGGTGATGGGTAAAGAACCAGAGCGACCTGGGGAGAAGCGACATAGATTTAATTCACCACCACCAATTATGAAGTAGTATACTAAGAGGAATGCATCAATAAACACGACCTGATCTTAAATACACTTCGCCCCTCCCATCGCCCTGGTTACCTTCTCCCCACCATCAGTGCAAGGGAGGCGGGGAATGCGGGGTGCAGTCCATCTGACCATTACTCATCGTCCATGGCAGCTCCTCCCCCAGACAAGGGGCTCCCCCCCCCCTCGCAGTCTCTCCTTCCTGTCGTGTGATGTCCACCTGACAGGACACAATCCTCTGCCTCCTCGTGAGTCCCGCAGGGCCACCACAAATGGCTTTAGGCACTCCCCCACTGATGCTCAGTCTCTCTCCCCTGTCACACGGGGCTCTGCATTTACCGATGCAACCTGGACGTTCTTGCTGCCATCAGTCCCTCAGCTGTCAGGCAATCACCTTCCTGCCATCTCAGCCACCACGGGCTTCAGGGAAAGGTCCTGCTCTGGCGGCCTTCTCCACCTCCTTCTCCTCAGGGACTCTTCTCCCCCTCTTTCTTCTCAGAGTGATGTTCCTTTGTTTTCCTCTCACCTCCCCCTCCTCCAGTTGAAAACCTCCCCAACATTAGAGACACATTAATTGCTGAGCCTCTGTTTTGTGTTCAGGTTGCGTTTATAGTGCCATGGAAACATTTCTGTTATTGCTCTCCAGTGTCTTAGTTAGAGAGTAATGCTAGCATCAAGGTATTTTGTGTACAGGAAAAATGCAGCGAAACCAAAAAGCTCTATATTTTACTTCCTTCCAAATGCTAGTGGCTTTTGAGATTTCTCTAATGTTTAGGAAGCAAAATGTAGTGTACAGGCGGATGGACGAAAAAGACGAGAGAAGTTCAGGGAAGAAAAAAGCTCAAAACAAGACAAACTAAAAAAGAGAACAATGGGATCGCCTCTTAAATACCTTGGTGGCAGAGGTGCTGATTGGCCTGGCCCTGAGCAGAGGCAGGTCCAGCTCTATCTGGGGGTGGGGGAGGATCTCAAAAGTTTTGCATGAGTCTACCCCACTTTTTTTCACAAAAAAATCTCATCAGACTCAAACCCATCATAGAATAAGGTATTTTTAATCTGAAGACTGATCATTGTTTCATGTGGTGATTTGTACTGTCTCGTTAAAATGATGTCGTAGAAATTTTAAGTATATCCTGAAATTAGTTCTTCTATAGTTAACCCTAATAAAGAAATGTAATGTTCCATGGTAAAGACTGAAGGATATTTTTAGTGTCCTTTTTAATTAACTGTTGAAGTATCATCTCAGGTATTTTTTTATGATCAGACTGTTAATTTAGATGCAGTAAAGGGATCAGTAAATCAGCAAGAATACTTAATTTTGTAAATATACTCCTCACCTTAAACTTAGAAAACGTTAAAGACAGTGTAAAGGTGCAAAGCTGTTTTTCAGCTGCTGTTCACTTTAGTGCAAATTATGCGAGTTGAAGTACAGGAGGAGCCTGTAAAAGGAGTAGCAATAATTAGTTTTCTTTCTTACAAAAGAGCAGAAGAAACAAAGTTCCGCAGGATAAACGCAAGGCAGCTCATCCAGACACTCAATTCTTTACATGGAATGAGTACCGCTGGTCCTCCCTATGCCACTTGCTGGAACCACAGTACTAAAACGGTGTCATCTCTAGTTTCTAGAGTCCTTTTAATCTTGAGAGAAAACTGGACGATACTGGAACTGAATATCATACTTGTGTTTTGGGGCAGTATGGACGATACTTCTCAAGTTACAGTACCAGGAGGAAAGCTGTGTACTCTTTTTAGCTGAAGCCTCGCCTCTTATTTTGTATTTTGCTTGTTGGTCTAACAGCTGATTTTTGTAGCCTGTTTGCTGCTGCTGTCCTAAATACCTCAATACTACTGCTGATGCCTGCTACTAAATCTTTGTTCTGGTGCTAAACACTTCCCCTGTCCTGCTCAAGTTGCTGGTTAGGGTGTAAATCTGCTGTGAGAAACTGTTAGTTGAGAACAACTTTATGTAGAAATAGTATGTCCTTGCACCTACAAGCTGTAGCACTCTCATACACATTTAAGATAAACCTGGAGTTGTGATAGGAAAATACATGTTTTGGGCTGTGATAAAAGTACAGAGCTTGATTTGAATTTTTTTATTTCAGTGATGATGATGACAGCTTGAATTCTGATAATCAAGACAACTTTGATGCCAGAGTAGTGGTGAGTAACTTCAGAAACTCTCTTGATTTCTCTTAGGAGATGAAAAAAAACCCCCAGTAGATAATGTTTTTGAGTACTTGATTTCTCAGCTTGGATCTAGAGTTAACTGTAATACCTGTGAATCCTAATCTGTAATGCAAAAGGAAGTTGTTTTCAGAGTCCACACTCTCCTTTGAAGTAATGCTGGAACACAGCAATTCCGTACTTCTCTGAAGAGTTCTTAAGAGTTTCCAAAGTTGCTACCAAGATCTTACTTTTTATAAGTGTCTCAGAACTAGACTTGTGAATACTTCTATCTTCCATTTTCTTAGGAGAACAGCTCTTTCATTATAAGCAGCAAAATTCCCAGTAAGAAAAAATCAAAGCTGGAAACAAAACATGCGAAATCACCTGAGGTGATTGAAATAGAGGAGGAAGATGACTCTGCCACTGAGAGCTCTGGGCTTCTGCAAGCTTCACCTCAGTGAACAGAAAACTAACGAATGAGATATCAGTGGTGGCTCTTCAGATACTTTTTTCATGGTCTACTTGATTTAAAATATTGGTCTGAAGTCCCTGTTAAGCTATCAATGGAGCGATCTATTCATACTTAGTTTAAGGTGAGTATGTTGGGCTCGTGTCTGAGACGGTTACGAAACAAGTCTGATCTCTTTTTGCAAAGCTTTTGAGTGTCTTCTGTGTTGTCCTGTGTCAAGTGTACAGTGCCCTTGATTCAGTGGCTGGTAATCTTGCTGTTATGCTGGCTTCTGCAACTTTTCTACAGTGGATTGTAGAATTTATGGAATTAAACACAGGAAGACAAGTTCTGAGTGTTGTAACATAGCAGCAGCACAATATAGAAAAGTATATGCATTTGCATACATATATATGCTCAAGTTACAAGGAACAAATTGGATGCCTTTTTTTTTTCCTGTCTGACATTTTTGTGAGTGATATTTGACAGATAATTTTTATGTATTTTAAGGAAATGCAGGTTGTGCTTTGAGTTACTTAGATGAGCAAGGATAGAAGACAGCATTGAAGCTTAATGTGAAGGCAAATCAAGTGTCCGCAGTAAAAACGCAGAAGTGGTTAATCAGCTTGGACAAAAGCCTGCTGCGAAATATGGCTAAATGCCTTTGAATTACAATAAAATGAATTTGTGTGCTTGAGCTTGTCTATTCCATGTGGAGTAACTTTTAAGAAAACTAATTCTCTATCCCTGAATCTAATAGGATAGCCTGAAGTTGTAAGTTACCCTAAAAGTAACTGTAGCAGCGTAGTGAGTCTTGGAGTAAAAGATTTTCTCTTCTCCCCTCTTGGCCTCCTCTGTCCAGAATGGAGTCTGCTCCGAACATGAATAAGCAGAAGGTGAAAGCTCTTTACAATGACGGTACTTAACAAGTACTGCCCCGATTGCAAGTACCTTCCTCAAAGGTGTTTTAGGCAGTTGGAAACATGGCGAGTGTATGTTTAGAAGTGGCCTGAATGTCACAAGTCTGTCTTGGTAGCAGTAGGAATAATAAAAAAAAAATGTTTAAAAAGTTTATTTGTGAGCCGACAAGATTTTAAAGTCAAAGGGTGATGTGGCTCACTCGAGTACTCTTAACCAAATTGCTGTCAGCAGCAAACTAATGGCTCTTCAGCAGGTAAAAGTAGTCTGTGCCGAAGAAGGATGTTGTCAGAAGAAGGCTTAATATCTACTGGCTTAATTTCCTTTAAAGTATAGTTGACAGTCTGAGGACATTTACAGATGGGAGCAGATCAAGTTGCTTTCCTAATATGCTTACGTTAAGGTCCCAGATCTTTGTAAAGGAAATTTGGGGTTAATCCCAGTTGCAACTTGGTAGCTCTTGGGAATACAACTGCAAAAAACTGTCTTCAGTAGTTGAGGATTACTACTAAAAGTAGTGGGGAAGTGTAAGTCTTTCAGGCATCTCCCTGAGAAATACTCTATAGCCTGAAAGTTTCATTCTGGATCTCAGAGTGGGGTTCTTGCGTGATAAGGCAGAGCGAGGTGCCGTGTGGAGCCCTGCTCATTCTGCAGTTCATGTGATGAATTCTTCTGTTCAACTGCTGAGTGACTCAGAAATGAACTAAATTTCAATTCTGATTAGAACTGGATAAATACACTTGGAAATCAAGCTTGTTGCAACTGCTAAATCGATTGCTGAAACCTGGCTTCTGGCTTTAGGAATCTGGAGTTATTTGGCTGTATCTGATAGTTCTTATTACTTTGCCTTTCTTTTTTTCTTTTTTTTTCTTCTAGTCTATGTTTCATTTGGAAGATGAAATACCACTCGCTTTTCTTGGCGTGCCAAGGTAAGCTGTTGCTTAGTTTTCAGTTATGTTTTCTTCAGGTAGCCTTTTTTTTAGTTTTACTTGAAAAAATGTTTTGAAAAAACTATTCCATAGTTCAAGTGAATACAATATGATGTTTCACAGCTTTGCAACTTTTCTGGGTGAAGCTTCCAAGAGACCAGGTTCTGTGCAGCACCTCTTTTATCAGTCTAACTGAAAGTAGAGCCTGGAACCTTTGCTTGAACAAAACCTGAAGAGGTTTTGAGTACCTCTATACTACATGCATTTTTTCTTAGAAATTATATATGAAAGTGCTGCTTTCTACCTGATGTTGAATGCTGCAGGGCAACTTAATGTGATTTGGTCTGAGCACTACCGGGGATGTTCTCTGCTGAAGATGTTGGGAGAACTACTGTGCACTTACTCTCCTGGTGGTACCCACCTGCCCTTCCTGTAGGGGGCTGCATTGTACAGCTGCAGCTTCCGATTGCTTCCCTGTGGTAAAATGTCATCTTAAGGCATGTCCCAAGCAGGGACAGGGGGAACAGCAGAGAGAGGCTGATAGCCTTGCATGTACTGTATTGCTAAAGCTCTGAACCTTGTGTGTTGGGGAAGTGATCGTGCCCCTGTACTCAGCAGTGGTGAGGCCACAGCTTGAGTCCTGTGTTCAGTTTTGGGTACCACTGTGTAAGAAAGACATCAAGGTGCTGGAGCAGGTCCAGAGAAGGACCGTGAAGCTGGTGAGGGGTTTGGAGAACAAGTCTTATGAGGAGTGGCTGAGGGAGCTGGGATTGTTTAGTCTGGAGAAGACTCTCTGCACCTACCTGGAAGGAGGTTGTAGTGAGGTGAGAGTTGGTCTCTTCTCCCAAGTAACTAGCAGTTGGACAAGAAGAAATGGGCTTAAGTTGCACCAGGGGAATTTTAGATGGGATATTAGGAAAAATTTCTTTACTGAAAGAGTGATGAAGCATTGGAACAGGCTGCCTAGAGCAGTGGTGGGGTCACTATCCCTGGAGGTGTTCAAAATATGTGTAGACGTGGCACTTCAGGACATAGTTTGGGTCATGGTGGAATTGGGCTGATGGTTGAATTTGATGATCTTAGAGGCCTTTTCCAACCATACTGATTCTATGATTCATTACGCAGACCAGTACACGCTGCAAGATCACAGAAGCGTGAATATCAAGGGTTGGAAGGGACCTCGGAAGATCATCTAGTCCAACCCCCCTGCCAGCTGTTAACCTTACTGCGGGATGCTGCCTTATTCTCGTGGCTGCAGGACAATCTAGGAGATAATGTGGAAGAAAATCCAATGGAAGATTATTGGGTAGGAGAAGAATATCTTCAACATGGGAAGCCCTGAGCTAAAGCTGAGCAAGTAGTAGCAGTTCACAAAAACATACTTAAGAGAATAGGATCAAGGCTGCTGCTGCATGAGGGATGCTGGACTAGGAAACATGAATTTACAACAGGATAAATTGTTCTTAAGGACAGCATAGCTGATACTGAACTCCGTGTCACAGTTACTTCAGTCTGAAGTATACCTATGTCTAGAAGTAGAGAACAGTACTGGAAGGTGAGTTATTAATTGTAAATGTAGACAGAAATAACTTGATTTTTCTGTACTCTTCAAATGCTATTTCAGAAATAAGATTAAAGTTGAACCAGTCACTCTGTTCAAGCACTTGTTCAGTTTTTGTCTGTTGCTGTAGACAAAAAACCTGGAACCTAGTGCTTAGAAAGAACCCTTCTTTTGCAACCCACAGCTGATGAACATATTAGTTGTGTTACTTATGTGAAGGGACAACATTTGCATGTGTTTGTTAACCATTGGAACAGGCTGCCCAGGGAGGTGGTGGAGTCGCCATCCCTGGAGATATTGAAAAGATGTGTAGGTGAGGCTCAGGGACATGGTTTAGTGGTGGATCTGGCATTGCTGGGTTAGTGGTTGGGTTTGATGATCTTGAAGGTCTTTTCCAACCTAAATGATTCTGTTATGCTATGTATTCAAACAGCAATTAATTCCAATACTGATGAATCTAGGGCGTGAGTTTCATGTTCTGGCTGCACTGAAGCGTGGTTCAGTTCTATCAATTTCTTTCCAGGCTCTGCAGATGAACACACGTGCTCTCCAGCAGTGAGCAGTTTTAACTTTTGTAGGATTAAAGTTAACTTGGATGTACAAACCTGTTGCTTCAGTGGTCTTGTTGTGGGACAGAAAGAGGTAGGCTTTGTGTGTCTTCTGAACTTACATGTGAGAGTACTGACTTCTTTAAAGAAGCATACTGTTGTCAGAGCAAGTAATCAAGCTCCTGTGTGCACTGTGTGGTATCTGCACCCAGCAGCGTCTTCCTGATGGGGTGTTCAAAAAGCAGTGCTACAGTATTTCAGCAGCTGGCATCGTTGGTTTGCATGCAGATGTGCTGGTTAAACTTGGTATTTCTGTTGAAACAAGTAGATTGAAACTTTTATTGCAAAGCTTGTCAAATGTAATGTTCAAGAACTGTTGAACTGTTAAAATTGGTTAAAACTGTTAAATCTGTGACCTTGTTCCAAAATATTTCTTCTCAAAGGGCCATTCCTGTGATGTCTGGAACACAGTGGAAAGCCTCTACTTAAGGGTAAGTATTGAGGAAATAGTTGGTTTTTCTTAGATGAAGGTAGCTGGATGAGGATACAAACTCAAGTCTTAGCTTTTTGGTTGCCTTTCTATGAAAGAACATTTTATTTTGAAACACAAATCCAAGTACCACATGGCTGCCAATGACACGTTAAGTAGTTAGGCTTCAAAACCAGAAGCTGCTCTGCAGACCTGGGGAAGAGTTAAGTGTTAACGCCTCGTTATTCAGCGAATAGACACAACTCGCTGTGTGTCTGAATTGAAAAACGTGGCTAGAGGAGTAACAGGTTATGCTTTCCCCACTGTACCGTTCATTGCAGTGGTGACAATGAGACCTGGAACAGGTTTTACTTGGTGGGACAATTCTGCAAGCAGTTCAAAATACAGCTACTGTAAACTCCCAAGGATTACCTTATTTTGGTGGTTTTTAATTCTGCATCCTGCCTATGAAAGGATGTAAAGTGGCAGGTAGAGGAAAACTGCTTCCGGGGCTGCATTCTTGTAGGTGGTTTATCAGAGGATATTTACAAGCTGTTTTAAAGTGGTATCTTATACATGTCTTCTTTA